ATATGTGTAAAATTTTTGTTAAACGAAACATCCTTAATGTTATTAAAATGTAACGCATCTTCCTGATGAAAATTAATTAAAAAGTAGTAATTAATTACAAATAAGCATTTCGAAGAAAACAAAGCTTTTAGACTAATATATTTACTGAAGCCCAAAACCTTGAAATAATTTATTTATTCATACAAGGAAAATAAGTTCTGGCGGTATGGACGTAAAAATGTTGTGCGCATTATTCACACTTTAAATTTTTCCATCAGTTGTAGGAAAAAAATGTGTTTGTCACTAACTAAAGAAATTGTTTAAAATCAAAATATTAACTTGATATACACCTCCGGATATACATCCTGGTTATCCGACCACACTAAAATTTTGCACACAGCATCCTTTATTTACCAGGCATTGTGACTAATACTCGTTATTTCTCTGCTGCTATTTTATATTATAAGATATTAAAATTTGACCCAATTCGTATCTCTATAATGTTTGATAATCTCCAGCACTTACTATGCTTGAATCAGGGATTGTTATGCAATTTTTTTAAAGAAATGATTGGATAATTTGAAACTGAATCTACTGTATCAACCTAATTAGCTGTTAATCGTTCAATTTTCATTGTCAATTCATAAATGTTTGTAACGATATTCACCTCCGATTGTAGAATCTGCTTCACTTTCTCGTAAAATACAATTTTTCCAATGTTATAACTTTCGATATTATTACTGTTTTAAATAAATACTCGTGTAATCAAATTTTGCAGTCATTAACGGCGTATCATCGGTAATTACGAAGATCAATCAGTCGTATTTTATGCACTTGTTGGGCAAAATTATATTATAAAAACAAAAAACAATTATGATAGTTTTAGTTGCCAACTATCCAAATTTTGGGTGCAACAATTCAGAAAATAATTTAGAATAACGGGAATCGACAAGCGTAACAGGTTTTAATTATTATCTTCGTGAGGGAAGGAATGTTTTATCAATTTAAATTTCGTTAACAGAATTTAAGTTTTTAAAAAATCTAGATGAATCGTTAAAAATTTTACCGCCACGCACAGAAGAATCTTTACTCCAAACCATGGACCAAAATCTCACGCTGACTTCAAAAATTTAAAGTAGATTCATTTGTTTTTGCCTGTTATCACGGTAATCAATTTTTTTAATTTTTCACGTTGGTATTTTCATGTAGTTATTGACAATACTCATCAGCATGTCACAGTACTGTTTTTCGTAAAAATAACGTTTATCACTAGCGTATAATAATAAGCTGAAGTTATCTTGAACCTCGTCTTGAACATAAACCAGGTCTCCTAACTGTTAATGGATCACCTAACATAAGTAAGTACACGTCAAACCTCCAAAATAATTACATCATGTACGTAATTCTACGAATAAACGTAAGAAATTTTGCAATACCGAAAATAATATAGGGAAATCGATATACCTACTTAATCAAATAAATTAAAGAATTCATAGAAATGCAGATGCCCATAATACTCATGCGAAAGAATTGAGAAATTGCGTCCATTAGTTCAATTATTGTAGATTTAATGCTACAAACAATAATATTAATTAAAAACAAAAAAAAAGCAAAAGACTAGATTAGTAACCAATCATAAGATTTACCAAGCAGGATTTGATGTTGCATGCGCATTTCCTTCTTCCGTAAGCTTATAACCAGCTGATGCATTTTTAATCTATAAGACTCGATGTAAAATAATATTAATAAAGCAATATAACAAGAAACGATTTATTTACATGTTAACTGAGAAACCAGAAACAGTTCCCTAAGAGTTAAATAGAAAAAAAGCTATCAGACAGAAACTAACTCGTAATTGTTTGAAAAAAAAAGAGAACAGCCATTTTCCAAATTAGTACTAAATAAAATGCAGCATGTCAGCAAATTAAACTCAGCACCTTTTCTCATGCCATGCTAGATCTCGATAGAACAATTGTTGAACTAAGTTGTTTGAATAACGTTATTCCTTTCAACCAAGAGTCTAATTATCCAACTTACGGCCACAGTCGAACCATTCTTGCCTACTCCTCCGGTAAAAATCACCGAAAAGATAGAGTTTAAGTTTGCCAATGTACAGATCACAGTCATAACGCCTATTAAATATTTTAATTGAAACCCCTCTACAAATGGGATCTGTAAAAAACGAATTTGTTAGCTTTTGAGGGATACTAGATACTTGGAGAGTTCGACTAATTAATTACATGTTATCAACTAATTTTTACAATGTGCAATAGAAACGCAAACATTTTTTGAAAGGTACGGATGTGTTTTATCAAAATTGATTGATGTATAAAATTAGTTAATACTTTTCAATTACAATTTTGTATTGTTTTTCAATATTATTGCTTGATTTTTTTATTGCAATCAGTTTTACAAACATATTTTTAAGTAATTTTTCCTTGTATTTTGGTATTTATACACCAAACTTTAGTAAAATAATAATAATAATAAACGTTATGGTACACAAGC